TGTTTTATTCGTTCGCACCAATTTCTCGCGGCAGCCAGCTATCGCATTAGTAAAATCTTTTTGCATAAATTACCTACATTGTTTATTCTTGAGCAAGATCCTATCCAATATCACTATGACATCTAGGAAAGGAGAACGGGTAATTTATTTAGAACTGTGGTTTAGAGATGATTAGGTCACTGTTTGTTTAAATTAGGACCTTGGAGTGAAATAAAGCATAAGAAAATTCCTTAACCAATTTGGAATAAAATATTGAATCTTATCTAGTTTAACAGCTATACATTTGCAAGAGATTGCAATAGATGTCTGCAGTATTTCATTCGTATATTGCAATCGGTATATCAGAAATTAAATCGTTGAAGCATTATTCGATGCATTTCATACCAAACTGTTGGTATGTGTGTAAACTCCAAGTCTATGTTCGCAAAGTTTCATGTTCGCTGGCAGAATAATTAATTGTCTGATCTAATCAATGACTTAATGATTTCATTAGAAGACTGAACGCTAAACGTGTAGTTATGCGTATGACCATGTTAGTTTGCTATTACACAACCCTCCATCCTTACAAAGAAATGTCTTTTGAGATAGGATTACGAAAAGGATATTCAAAATATTAATTGTGACGTCACAATGATTTATTAATTTATTGTAGCAATTTAATCGATTGCACTCAAGGTCCATTTTTTTATGTATTTTTGTCTTATCGCTTTTTAATCTATCATAAATGTATTGACTATTATAGAAGTTCTATCCAATTATATTCGGGCGTAGTCTATGTGCATCAGTGCGTGGTTATAGGCTGTGTTGATTGATTGAAACGTCAAAATTCAGACACGGATTATTATTTATTGCCAAGGACTTTGTCGAGTGCCCTACTTTTAATTTACTTTTTTAATTTGCAAGGTAAATCAGATATATTTCATTATACGTAGTTACTGTTTATGAACAAAGTAGTTTCGAAAGCTACCAGTTAAAAACTGAACTTATTAAAAAATGGGTGACAATATTTATGAAAAATTCCTAAATATTTAGGAAATTAATAAAAACCAGTCGTTGACCTTGCCTCATTTATTGTATAGTGATAATATGCCTATTATAGAATACCTGCCCACATAGAAACTAATGGAAAACAAAAACGAGATTATTTGACATTTTACTCAAAAGAAAAAAAAATACAAGTAATTTGCTTTTTCCACTTACATAAAAACGATTTAATAATACCTACGATATTATATTATTTAGTCTTATATTTATCGTACTGGTCAGAACGAGATTCTGGTTTGCACTTCGACCTTTTAAGATGCCTCGTCGGTTAGTATTTACAATACTTACAGTTCCTAGAGTTACGTAACAGTTCAGGAGTTGCGTCAACCGAAGCAGACTTCTTGTAAAATCAATTCGTAGCGAGATGAACAGCAAGTTTTATGTTCATTACACCTGTATTGGTACTCTTTCTTCCTATTGACTTTCCATCTTAGGCAATGAAATTATTAAATCATATTTTTAAAATATTTCGAACACTTTTAAAATTAAGCGAGGCTGGTATTTACGCTCTGACTGTGAAATGAAGTTAGGGGTATAAGGTTAGGGTTAGGTTACATGCGGTTTTAAAGCTGAATGTAGAATAGAATGTGAAAACTGTCCAAGTACATTCTATGAATTAAAAAGGTTAAGATACTTTGTTGCACTATACTAAATTGATTGAATACCTATCTTAACGGGTTACCGGGGCTCCGGCTCGACGTGCAGGAGAAGAAACGGGGTGGTTTTTAGTCAGTAAGAAATTGACCGATTGATTGATCGATTTACTGCTCCCGCCTCACCCAGGTGGGAGCAGTCAATCGATGATTTTCCCCCCTTAAAAAAAACCTAGCGATTTAAACAGAGAGATTGTCGTGATTACATTACTTTTCTTTACCCTTGCTTTATATTTTTTTTTTTTAATTTTTTATTATGTTATGTGTGTTCTGAGCAAGAACACACATAACTGGTTTTTATTTCTTTCTTTCTCTTTGTGTATGGTAAGAAAAGTTATCTTGGCATATTGGGCGTTCAACTACCATCAAAAATTTACATTTTACCTTCGTATGTCTTTCATTGATATTTTCATGTTTGTCTTTCATTTATAAACTTTTAATTTTACTATTATGTTTAACACCACACGTTAGATGTAAAACCGCATTTTATAACTCCGTTCAAATAGGACATTTCCGTCATTATATATATTTAAATCCCTATTACATACCTGATCAGTAAAAGCTGTTTTTACGTAAATCAATACTTATTACGAGTTAATTGTACTTATAAGAACTTCTAATGATTTATGTTGAAAGGTTCATTTTAGTAATTTATTATTTTTATGCTTATTAGATTAGATGGCGCTATTGTCTATTATGGTTGTTATACTAGAAATAATGTTGAATTTAAAGTTGTATTGCTTTGTTATTATAACAACAAAATATATTACAATTTATAGAAGAGTTTAAGCTCTACATAATTGGGTAAGCCTATATTTTATACTAAATATATATTAAAGAAATAGATAGTTCTTCTTCTTTCTTCTTATAGTGCCTCTTCAATGTTGAAGGTCGGCCGTCAGCTTCTTGTATTTTTCCTTGTCGGTAGGTAAATAGTTACATACATTATATTTTATATTAACTTCGTTTATATTAACAATAAAACGTGTAATATTATGGGTGTGGTACGTTTTATACAACTATATTACTATACCTTATCTAATATTATAACAGTGTTCACAAGTCTATGTCATATAAAACATGAAAAGGTTCACATGACAGGTAAATAAGAGTTCAATTTGATACGCATTTAGTAGATAATATTAATAAGTTTCCTTAAATAATGATGTAAGCATTTTCTTAATAATTATATGGCTTTAAATTTCTACATACTAGTTAAAACCTGACTATATATAATTTTATAAATAAACTAAGATAATATATCAGAAGGAAACCTATATTTCACATTTGCGTAACGTTTGCGGTTTAAATGTCTGTGTTCTATATAAATTAATAGTGGTCAAAGGTGAATGTACTAGCGGACTGTCTTTCCTGATTAACTAAGGAAATCTGTGTAAATAACTTAATTATATGTGTCATAAATAATCATTTTTATATCATAGTAATTATATAGTAAATTCCAAGTTTATTCCTGATTTATATAATTTTAAGAGGGAGGTAGATTAGACCATGGTAACATTACATAATTATGTTAATTAACATCACACCTATGTTAATCCCCAAAGCGGTAGTCAAAGGTAAAGCGTATTGCCAACTCCCGGTCTAAATGGTTAACTTCGTACTAAATTGCGGTGGAATTTTCGTAAAACTGAAAAGATCTTAGGAATACTTTACCCGAGCAGGGAATTGACCCTGAGAACTCTTACTCAGCAGTTGCGCTAGTAACAAATCGAATAATGAGACACTTATCAGAATGCAGTGACTACAGTATTCTGATAAGAACTCTGAACCCTCCGATTGTGGAATGAACTCCCTGCCGTGGTTTTCCCAGTGGGCTACAACATGAGGTTCTTCAAGAGGGCAGTGAATAGGTTTCTTAAGGGTCGGCAATACGCATGTAATGCCCCAAGTGTTGCAGGCGTACTTACATAGGCCACGGTAATCAGGTGGGCCGTGTGCTATTTTGCCACCGTCGTGGTATAAAAAAATAAATAAAAAGCCAAGTATGTATGTACCTACCGAGATTGCATAAGACGCAAGTACAATGAAAAGGAATGTCACCGTTCTGTTTGTTTCGCAGGTGTACCATCGACGCGACGTACTGAATAATTTAGCATAGGATGCTATTTCGCACAATCGAGAATCGTTAGTAGCAGTGTTCTCTTAAAGTGAAAGTCGTCACAGCAAGCGAACTTTCGTTATCTTTATAACTGCCGGGAACGGCCTAATATGCGCAAGAGTCGGTCATAAGTCGTGATTGGACGGGACGATCATTTTCTCACGAATTGTAGAATCTAGGAGTCTAGATTGATCGTTCAGTTTTCATTACAATGAAATTGCTTCCTGATTTTGTTGGAATTATGATTACATTATCGAGTTTTGTAATACATTTAAATAATATTTGATAATGAGTAATTCATTTAATTTCAATTCAACATTGGTTTACTTCCATTGGGCTAGTGATTAGTAGTTATATGCCCGAATACTGAAATTCTTTGTGAAATGACAAAGATGGCATGATATTTAAGTACAACTTAAAATTGAGTAGCCATTCAGCATTCGGGCGATAGTCATGTTCGTGATGCTAAGTAAAATTTATTTGCATTTTTGTATGATATATATTTTGTGCGGATGCTATTAATGTTAACTATGATTCCATTAGAAGATTAAAACTGAAGTGTATAGTTAAAAAACTTAAATTGAAAAATAATTACGTATAAGTAATTTATATGGTGTGGAGTGGCTATTATTCAAGGGGCGTGTCCATTGATCTATGTGGGAACTAGACACCTTTGACCTCTAAAATTGTGTCCATTAACTACAACATAATATAGTATAGCACAGTTCACATTAAACAAGTTGTAACCAAGTTAAACTACATTTTATATGTTTTATGAACCATTATATATTTCCAATGTTAGTTATTGAGGAAAAGGAAAGATTTTTGTCAACAACAACCTTGTTTACAATATAAAAATAATACTCAAAAATAATTATTACATTTCAATAACATCGTATTTTTTTTTAATCTTTATTTATTAACAGGGTTTTTTCTTAAAAGAAAACGACACCCCGATTATTGAGTACAAACAATTACAAAAAAGAACACTCATAAAAGATTTAGATTTAAGAATATCGTCTTATTTGTATTCATTATTATTTCTCCATACAAAAGACATCAACGCGTTCACAAATTATCATTGTTGAAGACGCTAGATTGAAATGTATCATCACACCTTATGTATTTAAATAAATTGATCTTTGATAAACGTTTAATTACATTATTACATGTTATTATTTCAGGGAAGCCAGGCACAGACTACCCAGTTCTTGGTGCGGTGCCATACACAAACTTTTACTGCGATGACCAGCCTTACCCAGGCTTCTTCGCGGATATGGAGACACGCTGTCAAGGTAATTATCAAAAACAAAGAGATGAGAGACAAGAACAATAAAAAATATTTTGATTGTTGCAATCCTGAGTATGTTTCTCACCAACTGTCATGCTCTATGATTTACATTTTTTCTAACAATATGCCTAAAGCACTTTCAATTATAATTTGTCATACGTATTCAAAACTTTTGATTAGCCTGATGGCATTCTATTGTGTATTGATGTACACCTTCGTTTCGTTTTGGAAAAACGAGATATTAATCTTAGAATAGAAGTGGATAGAGTTTGATTCGAATTCTTTGTACCTCAATATATAATAAATAGACAAATGATATTAATTAGGACGTGGGTGTTCTTCTTAGTAGTTCTTTTGGAACAATGGTTTTGCGATTTTGTTCAACCTTGGCCGTGCTATAATGATTTACTTCACTGACCTTATAACTATGAGGTCAGATAAATTATAGCTTGGAGTAACCCGGAACCTGCTCTCGATACGTTAGGCTAAATCGTGAGGACTACATTTAAACAACACTTTATTTAAGTTGATGGTTCGGGTCTGACAATAATTTATTAAATAATTAACATGATTTATAAAATTTTGTTGACGTTAATTGATGATCTGTTAGAACAAAAAAAAAATACTTCCTCGTCGAAATTAGACTTGAAGAGCCACTAATTTAATATTCAAAGTATGTATTATTGGTTCCAACGTTCCCACAATAGCTTAATTATAATTAACTGTAGACGCGAACAAGCCTTCTTAAACGAATTTGCATAATATGGAGTTAATTAAGCAATCGTTTCCATATTTCTGTAGATGAAGCAACTATATTAATTTTGGTTCAATACGACACTGTGAAAATTGAAAAGTAGTATTCACCTGTGGTTGTAATAAAGTACCTATCTCTCTGTTTGAATATCCTCGTGAGGAGCGGTCCTCCAAACCTCATGTCGATTTTAAAGTCTCAGTACTGGTATAACAGAAGGTTTTATGACGTAATAAAAAGCAATAAAATCAAACATTAATGGTAAAACAAACATAAGGAAATTCCAAAGAACATAATATTTACGATAACATTTTGACATCATTATCTATAGAAAAGGTATTAAGTACAAATATTGTTACGTAAACTCATTTATGATCGATGAAATAGCATTTCAATAACTTCAAGAGATTTATTGAAGCTTGTTTGTCTACTCATACGAGGAACATTTTGCAACACGAGTATGTGACATTACTCAATGTTAACAGTAGTATCAATCAGGTAGTTCGCCCTATTTGTAGGCCAAGTAGATTCTTTAACCTTTTCTTTGAAATATTTACCTTTAGTTACGTTTGTGTGTAAATTGCTCTGCAATAGAATTGGTAGTTGTTTCGCAGTAGTTTCGAGTATCGAGTGACGGCTAACTAATTAGTGACTATTTATTAACTCGTAACTTTGTGTTGCTATATTGGCTATTGAATGTGAGGGTTCGATGCTCGTTTTCGATAGTGTGTCAAGTATTAAGTTTTATGAGTTTGAGATTCTCAGTTCCACGGAGTGTAACAGTGTTCTTGCGGGATTGACATCGAATCACTTCCTAATTACACAAAAATTTTGAATAAGTTTCTCATTGTACCCTAATCATTATTCCACCAATCAATTTATTCGGCACTCTTTCCTATTTAAAGCTAAAGAAATGGAACCTAAATAAATTTATTCGTCCTATTAAACCTGATGATCATCTCAACTCTTCACAAAAATTGCAATACTAATGCACTATATTTAAATTTTCAGCGTGGCACTACTGTGACATCGATGGTCGTCAGGCATCATTCCTCTGTCCCAACGGGACGGTGTTCTCGCAGGGAGTAGCATCCTGCGACTGGTGGTTCAACGTGCGATGCGCATTATCCCCAGCGCTCTACCGGCTGAATGCAAGGCTATACCGTCGGAAGAAGCAGAGCAGACCGAAACCACATCGCCTCATAGACAAGAAACTCATTTCGGAAATATTTTTGTAAATATTTTGTAGTTATCTAGGTCGTTAATTACCATGAGTTGCTAGATATCTTGCGACCTTTCAGGTTAAAAATCTGTAAATTAATAAATGTAACAATTAATGTTGGTAAAATGTTGAATATGTTACAAGTACATTAGAACAGTTAATTATACGTCAAAGATTTAATAACAAATATTGAACATTTCTTACAATGTTCATCGTCAAATGAAATAAAATATTTTCTCCTTAGTATCCGTTAAGTTTTTATTTAGTACAAAGTATTGTATCCATATTTTTATATGAAGAAATAATGATACCTAACTTTGTTTAAAATTTTAACAAATTAAACTGTATATTTGTTTCATAATTTTTTTATTAATTGTCATAAATAAAGAAATACATCATAATCTCCACAAAATTCCAAATATTCAAACATAATTCAGAAAGGGTAATGAATACTATTTTATACGGAAATCAGTAGATAATAGATACATACATAAAGCATAAGTATCTGGCTACTCATGGCGAATAAAAGACGTACTTTTATATACATAAGTAGACTTAGTTAGAGCATTTTATAAGTATACTTAAATACTAAATAACGTCGTAATTGAAGTCTTTACCTATGATTAAAAAACTGTAATTTATTTAGCGTGACACAATCATTGAGTATGCTTAAGCATATTTACTTTTTGTATTATGTTGATAACTTAAGGTCTTAAAACCGTATTTACCACCATTAAGTTTCTTCCTGTAAAAGTACACACTATACATTCAATTCTTCTTGGAATGACTGTATATTAATATGTACTTATTATTGGTAGAGTTGTTTTATTAATATTTGCAACTATGACATAGATTTAAATAATTCGTGATTTTTAATAATCCATCATCTACGTTGGTCGATAATGAGTACGAAAATTTTATAATTATTAGTAGATTTTCAACTAAATTGCAAAAAGCTGTTAAAGAAACTAATTCATGATCGAGAGGCGAGGTTTTTCGTTTTTAATATCAAGTCGCAGTTAAATTAGAATCTACAAGTCCTAACACACCTACATTACAATGAATTAAGCAAATATACGCACAGCTTGGCAAAAAGGAGTTTGGAATAATTGGGTACTTTCCGTAATCAATAATAAATTATTTCGACTGTTCAATACAATAAAATATTAAGAAATAATCACACTTTCATCAATTGATTTTATGACTAACTTAATTTTAGTATTACTCCAGCAATTTTTGAAGGAATAAGTATGTTGTTTGACGCTAAAAAAACGTGACGGCACAATATACAATCTTGTACAAAATTCATAGAAAAATGTCGTTTTTGACAGTACGAAAAATGTATTGAATTTGACTAGTTGGCAAGTACCCAATTGAGATCGACAGTATCATACCTGTGGCAGCCTGGGACATTGTGGCTTAATCGGTTTTGATATTTGTCATTTTATTAGAGTATAAAAAGAGGAGGTACTATGTTCGGATTTATATGTTTATTCATGAGGTAGAGTCCGAAGTGGGTGATTCAGTCCAAGTCAATATTAGTACCAGCTGTCACCGCATCAAACTCTTCTTTGCCAAGTTGTAACAAGAAAACTTAAGCATCTAATAACGTAAGTAACATAATAAGTGCTAATCTCACTGTGATAGAGGTAACAGCAGAAATTAATAACTAAAATCTGTGGATTGATCTCAGTTTTTATTAGAAACTCCATACAAATTATGCCAAGAATCCATCTCAACCCGCAGATTTCCGATCGAGATTAGTTACAAATTTCGGCTACTGATACGATACTGTTTTGTGTAATGTTTATCAACTGACCTGTGTACCATTCTAACAAATTTTATCTGCATACAATATCGGTAAATGGTCTACAATTCAGTAAGTCAATTGTCAGATAAATGTATAATAGTGCAACATTAGGAATATATAAATAAACTTTTAATAAATAAGGCAAAGAAATGTATTAAGTTACATTTTATTTTTTACTTACGAGTGTTTCGAGAAACGAAATATTTGTAGGTATTTCTAGTATAGTCGTTGTGTGTTTCTAAAAAGGTTTTTTTTTATGGTGAACATATGTAACTCAAATTGTCTGATTCATAAATTGTAATAATCCTATGCTTAACCTAAAGCTATTCAGGAGTGTAACACATGTATAAAAACACACATAAAATGACATGACGTACTTATGACCTATCATATAACAACTTATTTGAAGACATCAGTGTCACGAACTCAAGATTTATAAAGTTAAGAAGCTTAGTTAAATTAAGCAAGTAAGATTAAAGCACTGCCATGATTATAGACAATGATGACAGATACATATGTATACTTTGTACATACAATATACATATTTCATGACAGATTTTAAGCATAAGAAGATATGATTTGTCTGAATTATATCTTACAAAATGTTTTGATATGATACCACGTACCATTACACGTTTTTTAGTATGTTCAGAAAGCGACTTTGTGGTTTAAAATTTTAGTTTAAATACTTTGGTATAATATAAAGTTAGGTACATAGTTACAAATCAGCTAATGGTAATATTGAACGTTGATTTGAGTTAATCTGTCTGTCTGTCCCTATGTATGCTTATCTTTAAAAGTACTCAAAGGATTTTGATGCGGTGGTTTTAATAGATAGAGTGATTCTTAAGGAAGGTTTATATGTATAATACATGCATATTGCACCCGTGCGAAGCCGGGGCGGGTGCGCTAGTAAGTAATATAAAGTTACATAGTTACAAATCAGCTATGTTTGCTTTTGGTAATACTAAACATTGATTTGAGTTAAATAAGTGATGACATTTGTAAATATTGAACTGTCATTATTATAGTTGTAATAAAAACTGTCTGTGAAAGAGTTGTAGTTTTGTAGGAACTTGGTTTTCAAAATGTTTGAAATAGATTTCAATAAATGTTTTTTGTAAGATAAATAAATGTATTTTATTTTTTTCTTTAGTTTAATACATATTTAAGTTATTAAACTATGCGTTTAAACTGAAGACGATAATTGTTTTTCTATTCTATTCTGTAAAACTCATTATTTGCTATTTCAATTAGGATAGGCAAAAATTGTTGGCTACAATAGTAAAAGTATTCATTGGTAAGTAGATATGCTGAAAGTGGGTGTGTCCCAAACTGTCTAATTTCACTTAATATTGATAGTATTTTGTGACCACTATGTTATATGCCCCGGTTAGTCTCTGAGGGCGAGCAGGTTACTCGACTATAATACTCAAGCTTTCTGCCAAGTGGTCCATATCCCCACACTTATATTTCCCCCTTTTACGATGACATTTTTTTCAGTAATAAACGACTTCCAACTGAAGCTGTTAATACATAATCGAAGTATAGATTCTAAAAAGATTTTGATATCAACTCTATAATGCTTTACTGTAATTAAACATTATAAATGTTAATGAGGCTGTATGGATATTACCTGTGTTTGTAATTCTCTTATACATAAATTACTGTCTAGATTTAGATGAGATTTACACACAGATTGATTGTAGTCTGGAACATATATTTAGGCTTTTTATCCAGATAAGGCGAGAAGAACTGCTGGCAGAAGCTAGATTTTTTTACAAAGGCAATATTGTAATACAGAACTACACTTAGACACATCCTTGTAGCAAGTTGGCAAAGTTTCATTCTATCAGATCCACGTTTTGCATGAATGCGTATATGTAATTAGTTATTACTACACGCTGATGAGTGTTGACACGCTGTTTTTGTTCCTTTACTTTCGTTAGCTCAAGGTCAAGAGAAATAGCTAAAAATTGTGTAAATTATTGCATGTTTCATTTTTGCACGTATAATAGTTGTGATATTCGAAAATCTAGTTATTTCAGATTCTACGTAGAATTTATAGGGAATAAAGAATCAATTTTAATTTAAACTTGAATTAAAGGAGATATTAATGACTGCTTCGTTGGCCGAGTGGTCGCAAGTGCGACTGCCGTGCAAGGGGTCTCAGGTTCGATTTCCGGGTCGGGCAAAGTATTACTGGGTTTTTCAATAATCTCAGTAGTAGCACGGAGTCTGGACATGTGCCCGGTATATGGCAATAGGCTCACCCTCTATTACATCGGACTTATAACATAAATAGTGAAAAGTGGGTGTTACATTGTACAGTGGCATTAAGTGCTGAAATGTGCACCTCTGCCTACCCCTTCGGGGATAAAAAGGCGTGATGTTATGTTATGTTATATTAATGATGATTCCAAGACCCGGAGATCTGTCCCTTAGATTATAAATATGTCTAGATAGAGCGTCATCATACAATACCAACAATAATGGCGTTGCAAAATTACTTGAATGTGTGCGTGCGGCTCATGATTTACTCGGTGCAAAAATGATACCAGTTATGACTAAAATTCTCCCATAAATATTTAGGCCCATGTACTAGACCATTTAGAAGTAAAGTAGGTAGTAAATAAAATTGTAAAACAATCATTTAATAGGTATTGATATTAAAACATGTTTAACATTATTTCTATAAAATCAATTTATAAACCATTCCAAAAATCGGAACGAATCTTCTTATTTTAGTCGGTTAAAATAATTAATTCATTAAATCATAGGTAAGTGTATATACAATAAATAATAAAATATATTTTTTTTATTTTTAATTCGCAAGCAAGCGACAATTTTTTTTAGTTTTCCTCTCTCGTTGCGAGTATAATATATCGACTGAAATTTGGCAACACTGATAAATTAACATGGCGGCAATTAGTTGGGTCAAAAACATAAATTAAATAATATAATTTTTAATTACTTAACGATGTATAAGCGATACCCTAAATATGGACATGTGGCCATTTTTGCAGTGTACTTTTTTGTTTACAAATTTATTTCGTAGCGTGCCTGACATATTAAGTGTCGTCTAGGTGACACGATGGGTATTAATTGACGGGTAATTGTATTGAAGTGAACACTGCAAATTTTTGAAACGCTTTTCGTGAACTGACACTCCATCTAGACATTGCATAATCAAAGACAGGTCCATAGATCAATCAAGCAAGTCCAAGCCAAAAGCATGTACCTACTACCTAATTTAAATAAGTACTAGGTAAATATTGTTGGTTACGCAATTTAATTGAACCAGTATAATATGAAGTGAATTTTCACGCATGCAAATTTTTCATGTGCATCCTCCTCCAACATCGATTACAAGAAAATGTAAAAAATGTTTAATAGTTTTTAAATCCATTCATTTATAATTTTATATCAATACGAATATTCTAATATTTTTCTTTTGTGTATTTATTTTCGGCACGAATGGGCCGGCTCGACCGGAGTGATACCACGACCTCACAGAAAACCGTCGTGAAGCAACGCTTGTGTTGTGTTTCGTCGTGTGGTTGAGGTTACCGGAGGCTCAATTACCCTCCTCTTCCCTAATCTCCCCAATTCCTGAATCCCTAACGATCCTCAAACTCCTAATCCCCAAAAGGCCGTTAACGCACTTGTAACGCCTCTGGTGTTCCAGGTGTCCATGGGCGATCAGGTGCTCGTTTACCGGCTTATGCCACAAAAAAATTGTACCTACCTCCATCTGTATTGTAATCTGAGAAGTAAAGAAGTGCAATGTATATGACAGGTGTCTACTAGTCGACCTCGAATTTGAACTTCGTAAAACCTAACAAACTTTTCCTCGTTTTTAAAAGACCCCCAAGGTCGTTCAGCAGTAAAGTAAAACATTTTTTATTGTAAAAAGATAAAAATTCAACTCTTATAGTAAATCCTTGAGTACAATGTTACAGCGGGAAGTTACTATCACATATGTATGGTATAGACAGCAAAACATTCTCACAAGAACATTTAATAACTAGCATTGTTCTTTAGTTGTATACAATGTCGATTCAAAACCAAGGGTCGTCGATATGAATTGCCAACTTGTATAATGTAACCGTGGGAATCTTTCGTGGTCACGATGCATTTTTTCTTCATTTCATAGGAAGTAGCTGTTTTGGGGAACCGTAAGGTTAATTGATACGTAATGACATTTTTAGACTGTTGCATTTTAAGTGTTGTTGTATTGTAATTGCAGTAGTGGAGAGGCATCAAAATTACGGATGACGTCAAATTACAGGAGTTGACTGCTAAACTGCTTTTGCAAAATAAAAAGAACCTATGTGTTCAGAACTTGTAATTATGTATTTGTGTAAATCTTATGTGTAACTTAAGTCGTAATGATTTGTCACAATTCGCTAGAACAATTAGCGTAGAAGATAATTCAGTATTATTATTTTCTGATCATTTATCCTTATAATATTTACGAGTTTGTGTTACGCGCTTACTACTATTTAAATTAAAAAATATTTAATTATGATTGCCACCATTAAAGTTTAGACAAAGAATTTTGTTCCCGTTGTGGTTAAATCCTCTTTATTTGTTCTAAAACGTGACTTCATTAAAGGCATGATGAAGCAAAAACTTGTGGTCACACAAATTCGAATGTGGGCCAAGTGTTCTTTAAACATTACATGCATAATAGAGATATAATTTAGTACGTGAAGTAGGAATGTATACGTATGCTAATATTACATAGCAGATTTGCAGTAATGGTCATTACCACGTAAAGCTATTGATAGGTGTGAACAAGTGGTACTGTCTAATGTTTGTTCATTTTCTCTCTTTTATCTGTGTCTACCTCAAAATAATTTAACACTACACATGTCACACATTAGGATTAGATTGACATAGGATTATTGTCATATGCAATCTACATAACAACTAAATATGTATTGGTATAAAAAGTTTATCATGAAGATTATTTTATATAGAATTATTATACACATGTACAGAAACCACACTTCAGGTCTGTGGTTTGAATACACAGGAAGAAGGTTTTATGCCGACTAAAAATTCAATGCAGCGTTTCTCGAGTGTAGCGGTCATTCGACATTCGTATCGCGAAGCGCGCCAGACGCACGCGCGAGTTCGGCCGTTGCGTTTTTACGCGGGAAATATTTACGTCATTGTTTACGTGAACTATAGACAGTATTACATGAATGAATATCGATAAAAAATAACATATTAACCATGGATTACAAAATGGAGATTGTTGCGCTGCTTTTATGCGGTGAGTACATAATTAATGTTATTGATGAGGATAAGTAAGTGTTAATGAGGAAGCTAATTGTTAAAGTTATTCAGACAGTGATTGCTAAGTATTGAAGAATCTTAGATTGATTTAAATTGGTCGGTTTGATTGTTGGTTTTAAAGTAAATCATAAGCAATTTTAAAAGTACGGAACTACGGACATCCTCAAAAAGACACTATTCGATAAATATTCAACTCTGTACAAATATTTAGGTGTTAACAGCGAAAAATCTCAAAAGCGCCAAGATTAATTTAAAATCTATACGTATACAAACAGCGGAATCACGCTGAAGGGACTTCAGTTATGCACTCAACCTCTGTTTAATTATGTTAATTACCTACTGCGGTCCTCCTTTATCGTCCGCTGTTACACAATGACCTAACAAAAATATATGTAGGTACTTATATATTTACACTTTATTTTATTGTTTCCAAAAAATAGGACAATAAAGTGTATGTAATAAATGGGTGGTGGTTTTAATCCATTTATCTTACTAGAGATTTTCTAACAGATAAACTTTACACTTTTATTTAAAATAATTATTAAGAGCCTGTTGCATAATGTCTACTTTAGTTCCTGTAAACTTCCCTACTTTTTAATTACTGGCTTTGTTATTGACCCATATTTTAACACTTTTCGTATATGGAATCCTTGTCAAATCATTAGTCAGTTAAACTAACAGAAACTTAATCAGACGATGTGTAACAGGCCCTTAAATATGACGTTCACTTATGTATTCTTGAGTTTGTTCTCATTTAGCTCACTGTCAATGTCTTCTGAAAAACTGACTGGTTATATTGACAGAGTGGTTTACGTTAATTGCGGTTGTGTCGCGATCGTAATTACACTCGGCACTCGTTGCTAAGAAAACTCAATGTTGTCTTGTGCACTTATCTCAACGTTCACTTCTTATAAATTGTTCTGATTTATTTTTTCCTTGAAATATAATAATTTACTAGGTAAATTCTTTGTTAGAAATACTTTTCGACCTTGTGTACATTTTCATAGTAGGTGCAATTTTACGATAGTTTTTAAGTAAGTGCCTTATTAATAGTAGTATTAGAGTCTATTTTTAGAAAGCAAAAGATATCTTTCGTTGTATTAATTAATACTGTAATTAATAATGCGTCATATATCTATAGTAGGTAATTACGTTTTCCTTTTACAACTGAAAATAGAAACTACGAATTATTCACTGATTGGTTGTTTAATTTATTTTAACTAGAAATTAAAGTGTAAATGATGACAGTTGGGAGAAAGGACAGAAACATATTATGACATAGATGGTAAAGCAAGAGATTTTTTTTTCAATAGCATATTAAACACGTTCTCATACCGTTATACAGTAATTAATTCGAACTTACTTCGGTTATTTATAAAAGCATAACAATAAACGCCACTTTCACAACTATGACATAAGGACGAGGATAACAAAGTTAAACTGTTAGATATTCGTCCTACTAAAGGAATTAAAGAAAACAAACAATTATGTAACAGTTTGATAAATAGCAAAACATCGATTTGAAACCTGTTCTCAATATACTCCAATATAAGTTCTTAATATTCTCCTGTTCTCAATATACTCCCATGTTCTCAATATACTCCAATATAAGTTCTTAATATTCTCCAATATAAGAGAGAGGAACTTAAGTTTTGCATGATGTATTAGGGCATAATACATTTGCATAATCCTCACCTGCTTCTGTCGCAACTGTTATGTGAAGATAAAGTAGGTACCTAAGTAGTGGGTGGATAACTGTATCGCAATTTCAACGCCAATGTCTTTTTTTAACAGACTGTCGACATCACACGATATGTGGTTTCATATAACTTTAAAATGTAAAACAATACGTTGTGAATTTGTGAATAAAGATTCCGTCATCGTCATGAACTTAAATTACTCTATATTGCCGTGACCAAAGCAGTATTTAGGACTTGGTATTTTGCTGTGAGAAACGATTGGTAAATAATTATAGAGTAGCGTTAATAATTAAGTATTTTAACGTATCATTGCGATTGTTTTAGTTTTATTTTGGTAATTGAGTGTGTATTGTTGCTTTGAATTTACAAAATATTTGAGACCAATTTATTTGTATCTTGCATTGTGGGAACTTTTTTAATATTTATTACTATCCTTAGCAATGAAGCTTCGTAGCTTAAGGATAGTCTGGTAAACGGTCACCGTAGCCTAAACTACACCTGCAATGCCAGAGGCATTAGACGTTGTATTGACTACAATGACCATTATTATGGGAAATTCTATAATTGCAGCATCATTTTCTAGGAGCCCTCTTTCCTGTAATTCAAACGATGGCGTAATGAAATAGGTTGCAATCCTTATGATAACACGGTTCACAATATTTTTGATATTATAGATAGTCAATTTCGTTCGTATTTAAGTACTGCATCAATTTTAATACCAGTGCGTTAATTCTTATATCAGATCTATTAATGTAATACATATTTGAACAGCAAAAAATAGTCATATAGTTTTTTAAGGTAGGTGTGGTACTTGTATGCATACAGGAAACGGATGTACGTAAGCTATCGGATGTAATAAATTGTTCGTCCCTCTACTTGTACTAAGATTGAGTAGGTACGCTAATCGACATTACCCCACTCGACTGATGGACACTTGTAAAGCAAGGAAATGTTTTTTTCTTTTTATCAACATTTAAATAGCTTTCTCCTAGGAGTAAACGTAATGAGCTTATTCTCATTCTCATTTCCGCAATTAAATATATGACGAAGAAAGACACATTAAACGTGGTTTCAAGATGATGGAAAATGTAACAGTTTGTGGCGATATTGTAAACAATTATCATCATCCAAACGATTTACTGAGACGTAGATAATCGCTCGTAATATGGTTTGATGAATTGAAGGTGATTTGAAAGTAACATTAGCACTATTTAATTTCATTGGTGTTTAAGAGACTATCGTTGCGTTTGATTTATTTTGAACAGTCGATTAAATAATGTGAATTGATTCATTAGATTGGATATTAGAAGTTTAGTTTTATCATTACAAAATAACTAGGCAAAATGTTTATTGTTTCGAACATACTAGTATAGAATTAGTATAGTAAAAATATTATGATAAAAATTGAAATTGAATAAAGGCGTTTTTTCAATTTTTTTATGTAATGCACTTACATTTGCTCTGGTATGATTTATGATGTCCAGGAGCGGAGCTCACCCCTCATTCCCTTAAATTATATATCATATACCTGATCTATATGTACGTACATAATCATAATTATAATTGATTTTATGTAAATACTCATCACGCCTTTTATACCCGAACGTGTGGTGGAGGTGTAAATTACGGCACCTAATGCCACTGTACACCCACTTTTCACTATTTATGTTATGAGTCATATGTAAAAGAGGTGAGCCTACTGTTATATATCGGGTACAAATCCAGACTCCGTGCTACTACCGAGATTTTTTTCTAAACTCTGCAATATTTTGCTGGACCAAGGAATTGAAACCAAGACCACTTCCCCGGCAGTAGCACTTGCGACCACTCGACCAACGAGGCAGTTTATGTAAATAATATTTTAATATTGATTGATGTCGATATCTTTGCTAAACCATTGCTTCTATTCTGATTGCTTGTGTTGTATGGCTACGTGCCCGTCCTTGTTACGGCTCATAAGTATCTGAATACTGTAATGGTTGAACAGTTCAGATGTTGAAAGTTACCACCTAATCCATTTTGTTTGATTTATTTGTTTGATCAGTACGTAATAAACATTTCCGTCGTTTTTGTCTTTGTTTTACTTTCAAAAATGATGTAATAAATATTTAAAATAAATTTGTTTGAAGATCGTTATTCTATTTTCGATTCTATTTTATGGTTGGAGAGTTTTCAATTTACATCTTTTACATTATCTTGTCAAAATTTTATCTAGTTTATTTTGATTTTATTTACTTTGTTTTGAAAATGTCTTTAAATAATTCATTAACTGTTTTGGAAAGTCTTTATAATGGTATTTAAATAAAATACAGTTACCTGATTGTGACAATCATCACTGAAAGTATCACTACGTAGTTATTACCATATTTTATGCGCAGATAAAGTCTATTCCTTCATTCTATTAAAACGAGATTAAAACCAGTTAACTGAAATCGAAGGTTAAGTGTGAAGTATAAAAGTAAAATCTCCATATCTTAATACTCACAATTAAAAGCTTCTTACGTTTGCATTAATAGCTGTAATTGAAATACCCACAGCCTTAAAGATATTTAGAAGTAACCCTCTCTTTAATCAATATTAACTTAGAGTGGAATTTAAAAAAAAATGGTATAGTATGTATACCTACCTATCTACTGTACGTCCTTAAACTATGACCAGACGGCAGACATCATGAGTTGGATATCAGCATCCCTTATTGGTAATCGTAATACAAATCTTCAAGTCACTTTAAAGTCAAGTCCCTATAAAGAAAACCCCTTATGTGACCGTATTTAGGCTGATGATGGTGTAGAAATATTATAGCTATCTTGCAACTACAAATCTAAGGAGCAACTAGTGGACCATAAATATAAAAACGCATCTTACGCAGGTACGCATTATGTCACGATTACACTTTCTTTACTATTTCTTATATCACAGTTTTAAGTAACGATGGTCATAATTGCTTACCTTAGTTCCGGATAATAGTGGTTTAGCGTAGAGTAAACGTTAAGATTCTTTAGCTTGTGGTTATCATTACAGTAACAAACAAACTTTTGTTGGGTACAGTCGAAGACATGATTTTACTTCAAATAGCGATAAGATAGATGGCTAAATAGAAATGCTAGGTAATTCAAATTTCGCGGATGATTTAACTGGTGGCCGAGGCTCCGTTTCGAAGTACAGGTACTCCTGGTATCCTGTTCCTACTGGAACGGGGTGGTGTTTAGTCAGTAAGAGTCCGACACCCGTCTGATTTTTCCTCTCAAAAAAAGGTAATTCAAATTTATTTATTGAA